ATGTGGCTGTGGCTGTAAGGAAAAAGAGTAGGGGGGATCTGTGGAGGGCAGTAGACTCACTGCTTCCTGGGGATCCCCAGAGTGTCATTTTGACCGCTTAGCTAGCCTCATCAGACACTTCTTCTTGGTAAAATTCCAGTCTCAAGCGCTGAGACAGGTAAGATTCCAATTCTTTAGGCTATACAGGATTCGGGTTGGAAGCTGTTGCTGTTTCCTGTGGCTGCTGGTAGTGAGACTTGCGGGTGGGTCCGCAACAGGGACACTACGAGGTTGAGGGAGGTGGCTTTTGGCCACACGAGTAAAGGCAAGGGATAAAACTGTTGAACTTATTTGAACTGTGATGCATTCACTGTATTTACACTGAAATGTTATTGTCTTAATTGTCTGTCACACAGATTCCTGTGTTTACTTCTATCTTACTCACTGTACTATTTACACTTTCCCCTCCTATTTCTCTTTCTCTTTGTTGAGAGAAGTGATTGGTCACACACTTCTCGCCACGCTCCAATCCGCGGCTACCACGGGTAGGCGGAATCAGTGACTAGTCTACGTTTTGGGAAGACGTACTTAAAGAGCTTGCTCTTAAAGTAGCAGTCGAGCACGGTAGACGTTCTGTTCCTTTCTCTCTCTATATCTGGGACGCCTTGTATAGGGAGGATGGGACAGAAGTTAGATAAACCCAGTAAGGGTTGGTTAGCATGTGATCTAGTGGAAGACAGAGAAGGAGAAGAGATGGTTAAGAAAGTGAGTAAGATTGCTAAAGTATGTGGAATTACCGTACCTCTGTGCGGCAGATTGTAGCCAGAGAGCTGGCGTAAGTTACTGACAGAAGAAAGGGAAGCTGTCGGACCAAGATTTGGTTTGTACAGCAGAAGCCTGGTACCGAGTAGCAAGAGCTATTCAGCAAAAGGGATAGGTTGAGGAAGATATTGATCACAAAGGTTTAAGATTGTATGTATATCATAATAATTGTGTTACTGGGATGTTATCCCAGCAGTGCCCTGTCCAGGAGGTGACCACTTCCATCATCCTGTCAGTAATGACCGAAATGTAGCTGACCATGGTCACCATCCCACCCCAATCTTAAAACGCTGTGGGTTTTTTTTTTTGTATTTTGTGTTAGCCATTACCCTGGTAGAGGGTGGGGGTATAAATGAAATGTTGTGTTTTTGTGTCTCTTTGCTTTGTAATGTAATTGTCCTTCTGTCTTGTTACTGTACAGCGTTGACATGGTTAAATTCGTGCTGGCAGGCAGTCTCTCTCTTGTTCCACTCAAATCCCCCTCTGCTAAAACACCCCCCCCTCCCCTCGCTTCTGTGAGACGCGGGGGGGAGGGGGCGGAGGGGGGTGGTGACATGCTTGCGATTTAGGTCTGTCTCTTCGGTGTTCTGTAGAGTTATTCAGAAGCTACTGATAAGAGTATAAGGTACTGAGGATTGTGGGAGTGACGAGCTCACAAGATTGCATTCAGTGTTGAATACGGGATTTAGGAAGGTGTAGAGGGAATATGCGATGTTGTTAAGTCAGTATAAGAGGAGGAAAGTGATTAATGGTTTGAGGAAGATAAGGGAATTTGGTTGAATTCCGCGAGTTTATTTTGCATCATTTTATTATTTTAAAGTTATTTTAAAGTACATGTTTCTAGAAACAGCTGTATGGGCTGTTAAATGCATAATGTTCTCAACTGTCTTATTTAACCTGCCAGGTCTGTTCATAGTTTAGTATTTCATTTTGCAGAACGGAATGTTGCTTCTCTGACTTATTTTAATAGTTATAATATAGTGTATTGTTGAAAGTGACGTCACTTCCGCCCTTACCATGCCCACACCTCCTGTCTTCCTTTCCCACACCTATCATGGACGTCATCTCACTTCCTCCCTTGCTGTCATTTCCTTCCCCGCCCCTGTCATGGCTGCCTCCATCATGAGGCCTACCCCTATTATGCTCGTCCCATTTAGATAATTACTAAAACAATCATGCCATTTGTTTCCCTGTATCAACAATTTGTCCGTGATATAAAAAAAAAAAAAGAAGGTTGCTAAAATGTAATTTGCAACTGTGGTGTGACCTACAAATGAAATCTGTTGGACACGAATATAAGAGCATAACAGCTGATTATCCAGATTAATCTTGCAACAAGGGAAATAGCCAAATAATGCAAGTTATTTTAAACATTGTATCTTTACTTAATCGAATCTTGCTAGTTACAGATCTTATGTTTACAGTAACATCCTTTACTTTAAATGATGGTTTAGCATTAGAAGGATTAGTGACATGTTTTATTAACCCAGCCACTACTGGTTGTTTATTTTAGTTACAGGGTGGTATAATTGTTATAGTCTATTTAATATAAATGATAGTACCGCAATAGTTAATGTTTTATCCAAAGACATATAGGAACTTCACTTCACTTACTATTAACCATTATTTATAATGATAGACATGTTCAGACTGCAAAAAGCTATGGCTAATGACATAGAAAGGGGTTTGAGTCAGTAACACAGCCCATACAGAGGAGAGCAAACCCGCTGATGCTTAATGCCCCTGCCATGGCAGTGTCTACAGGGAACAAGGGGGGCCACTAGCCACTGTAACTTTACCTATTGAAGGTCACCCTACTACTTTCCTGGTTTCCTGGTTAACACAGGTGCATCCCGCAGTGTTCCTAGAGAACAAGACCTGCCTGACTCATCGTTCCTGCCTGACACCGATGTCTCTTGTGTTGGTGCTGATGTCCTATCCTGCCTCCAAGCATCCATCACCCTCACTGCAGACGGCCAGGTTCAATTGAATACACCTTTGTCACGAAAAGACACTACAGTTCTTTGTTCCCTTCCCATTTTACTGTGGAGATGATCTACCCACAACAGAACAATGCTCAATTAATCTTCTTTGCTACCTAGCAGAACAAGGATGTAAAGCTTCACGTCTCAAGCTGCAATTCTGCCAACCTACTGTTATCTTCCTTGGCCATTGTCTGTCTCAGGGAACCAGACATCTCACTCGTGACCGAGTTAGAGCAGTACTGGACATTCCACCTCCAAGGACCTCAAAGTCACTACACGCCTTCCTAGGCCTCATTTCCTATTGCCGAGCATGGATCCCAGAAGCCTCGCTCCTTATGCAACCTCTTTATGATGCTCTCAAGTCAGACCCATTTTGCTTGTCCACAGAAGCCCTTGACAACTTCTGTTCTCTCAAACGTGCTATTGCTTCTGCTCCTGCTCTTGGCCTACCAGACTATACCAAACCCTTCAAATTGTTTGTTTCTGAAAGACAAGGCCATGCAACAGGAGTACTCACTCAGGCTCATGGTCCTGGAGGCCGCCAAAGGCCTATTGGATTTTTCTCCTGCCAACTGGATATTGTGGCCAGAGGACGTCCCTCTTGCCTTCGGGCCGTCTTTGCTGCCAGAGAGCTCATTGAAAGAACTGGAGATCTTGTCCTTGGCCACCCCCTGGTTGTCTTGGCCCCTCATGACATTTCTGCCATAGTCAACCAGGTCCAACTTAAGCATGTTACTCCTGCTAGGCATCTTCGCCTTCAATGTCATCTTTTGTTGCCTGACAACATTACCCTCCAAAGATGTCAAGTTCTCAATCCGTCCACTCTTCTGCCACTCCCTGAGGGGGGTGTATACTACGGATTCATCATGGACGAAACTTATGTTTTTCTTCTCACTGGCACCATCAAGAAGGAAATGCATCCCAACCTATCCTTTCATGATGGACAAGCACTCCTTCATGACGGAGCAGGATATGCCTTCTGTACCATGTGGTACAAATCAAACATCACTCCTGAACCCTGCTATGAAGATGAACTCTATCATCTGGTCGAAGTAAAACTCACTGCACAAGACTTCTACTGTGATTCTGAAGGCAACAGTATGGTCTTGATTCATCTACCTCCGGAACTCAAGCATTTGTACCGTCATTGGGACACTGCCATTCCACATGTCCCTGTGACCAAGTTGAAAACAATATCATGGAATGATCTTGGGCCTATGGCAAAAGCATGGGCCACTATGGACGAATCACAGCTACAGGAAAATGGTGTTGTCAAATATCCAACAACTGACCACCTAAAAGCATGGCCACGTCATTTCCTGGAAAATAAGTTCCAAGATTTAACCATAGTGAATGACTACGACCCAGATACACCTCATGACTGTTTTGAACAGATGAAAATGGAAACAACACATCTACCAACTGTACATGAAGACCCATTGGTAGATCCCGATCTCACCCTGTTTGTGGACGGCTCAAGATATGCTGATGAAGAAGGAAGATACCATACAGGATATGCCGTAACCACAACAGATGAAATTGTCAAATCATCATCTTTACCATCAACCATGTCTGCACAAGAAGCTGAATTGCAAGCCCTGACTTCAGCATGCAAGATCTCTGAAGGAAAGCGCGCCAATATCTACACGGATTCAAGATATGCACTGGGCGTGGCTCACGACTTCGGATTAATTTGGAAAACAAGAGGATTTCTTACCACCACCGGTACACCAATCAAGCACGGTTCCGCGATCAAGGAGCTGATGGACGCCCTCCTACTCCCAGAAGAAGTGGCTATTTTGAAGATAAAAGCACATGGGAAGTTGGACTCAGATGAAGCAAAGGGCAACCATCTAGCTGATCAGGCTGCAAAACAAGCTGCAAAAGAACCACAGGAAGTGGAAAGAAGAGTGTCCGGAAATGAAGAAACTCCCATATTTACTCTGCAGACTCTTCCAACTGACCTGAAAATCCTGCTGGAACAACAGGCTACAGTTGCCCCTGAAGAAATACAGAAGTGGAAACAGAAAGGGGCAGTTCTGAAGGATGGAGTGTACTCCAACAACCTCAATTTCTGCCTCCCTAAGAATTTGTACCCAGCAGTCGTACAATGGGCACACAGACCTGCACATTTATCAAAAGATCTAATGAATGCTCTTGTACAAAAATACTACCTCATTGTCCCCATACGAGATTCTATTTGGGACTGCACCTAGGCTAGGTTGCTATTTTCCCCAACAACTGCAACTTCAAACTGATGTTTTAGTAGATTATGTAACTGAACTCGCAAATGCTTTGAACAAAATCCATGTCCAAGTTTTCTCTAAAATTCCAGATCCTGATTCTGACACAGGCAACCACAGTCTGCTCCCCGGTGACTGGGTTCTGGTCAAGAAATTTGTGCGAAAACATACCCTGGAACCAAGATTTGACGGACCGTTCCAAGTTCTCCTGATCTCCCCTACCTCTGTCAAATTGGCCGGAAGGCCTAACTGGATCCACGCTTCCCATTGCAAGAAGACACCTGCCCCAGAGGAAGCTAACTCTATGCAACCATGTGCCTCTGGTACATTATCTCCTTAGTTGGCCTCCTTAAAGCCCAGCAGGTGGCCATCACCAAAGATGCTAGTGGGTACACCTTCTGGTATAATTCATCATGTACCCATGTGGCTACATTCACTTTTGATTACTGTGATATTGTAGAGTGCCCATTCCCTAAGTCACAGATTCAAGCCATTTATAAAGATATACCACAAGCAAAAGACCCTTACGTTTGTGCAGTAGATGAACAATGGGGTTGTGACTGTAACTACTGGGGGGCTGCGGGATGGAATACTGGGCCTGCCTGGGGTTATAAACCCAAAAGTGCTTTATCTAAGATAGACAATCAGGGTAGATCCCTCCTTCAAAGAATGACTTTAAGAAAGCCTGGAGGAAGTACCCCTATGAAATTAATGTTAAATATTGAACATCCTGGCCCCGAGGATGCAGACCGATATGTAATGGGAATGTATTGGAAGAAAGGTTCCTACAACAAATTAGGTCATTTCTACCTCAGAGATATGTCCCACTCTCCAGAGTGGCAAGGGGCTGATCATATGGTCCCAAATCCGCTAAAACCACATATCCAGTCCTTTAAAGATATGATGGCCATCACTAACCCCACTTTTGAAGATACCATGGCCGCTGAAACTGGATTCAATGACATTAATTTGTGGTTAGAATGGATGAGGTATAATGCTAACAAACATAATAAAACAGCATGTTATGTATGTGGCGGTGCCCGACCCCACCTTGGCACCGTCCCGCTAACTCTCCCTTTAGAGATAGAAGATTGCTTCTTAAGCCTTTTTTGCCTACCAATATGACTTTAATAGGTCCCTCTGCATGGCATGGACGGCAGAATACCCTCTCTTAGTTGAAAATGTTAAGCCACCAGATGGAGTCACAGTCTATAGAGGTAATTACACTTGTTATGCCATGTATGACGGGATTGGTAAATTCATGGGTAACTTTTCTAAAGGTTATTGCGCCACTTACAGAACTGTTCCTATACTCCTGTTGCAACACCATACCAGGTCATTGGGGGATATTTACTGGTTATGTGGGGATCTACAGTTAAGATCTAGGCTGGAAACTGAGTGGTGGGGTGAGTGTACCCTGGCCAAAGTTATCATGCCCATTCATATTATCTCTGATAATCATCATGACACAAACGACCCTCCACATACATCAGCCAGAGTAAGGCGCGAAACCCCAGTAAAAGGCAGTTTTGACCCCCACATTTACATAGATGCCATTGGGGTGCCTAGGGGGGTACCTAATGAATTTAAAGCTAGAGATGAAGTAGCTGTAGGTTTTGAATCACTTTTTACCATAGTCACTGCCAACAAAAACCTTAATTGGATTAATTATATCTATTACAACCAACAGCGCTTCGTGAACTACACCAGGGATGCCCTCCAGGGTTTGGCCGAGCAATTACAGGCCACATCCCAAATGACCTTCCAGAACAGACTGGCCTTAGACATGATCTTAGCCGAAAAAGGGGGAGTCTGTAAAATACTTCCCGACACTATGACTTGTTGCACTTACATTCCAGAAAACACAGGTCCTAATGGTAAAGTCACTCTAGCCATAGCTAAATTAAATAGACTCTCAGAAGAGTTAAAGAGAAACTCTGGAGTTACTGATCCCTGGGAAAAATGGTTTGGTTGGATGACTGGTTGGCAGAGAGCTTTAGTTCAGATTGGTATTGCCTTACTAATTTTTCTTTTTATTCTTGCTCTTCTCATTTGTTGTGTCCTCCCATGCCTAAGGAAATTCCTGCAGAAAACCGTAGACCAAGCAACACCAACCTTCACTCATCTGACAATCGATGATCAAGACCTCATCTCACCCTGTATTCCGCTACAAACTCTCCCTTATACTGATGAAGTGCAGAAAGTCTAGGAAGGGACAGTACAGGGACAGCGTCCGTCTTTATGGGTAGACTGCCGTACGGAGAAGTAGTGGATAAGCCACCATGGGTTACCAGCAGAGTGAAGAGTGTTCCTGAACCGTACTGACGGATGTGCTGCAGCCTGTTAGGGTCAAGAGAGGGATAGACTTGCACTTTGCATTAACACTAAGTCAGCGGTCATGGGGTTTCTGTGTCTTTGGGCTAACACATCTTCTGATACTAACAAATAAAGTTTTGTCTTTTAGCAAATAACATTTTAGGGGGGACTGTTGTAGAATTATTAGGCCTCTATAAATTTGTAAGGCCCCTTTAAATCCTCTTGCTATACCTCTAAGAGTTTTACAAGGAAGCTTTGTCTATAGAACATAGAATTTGCATGTCAGCAAGAAATAGCTTTGATAAAATGTGTATTTACTAAAATCCTTGAAACTTAACCTTGAGAAACTAACAAGTGCCAGCTACACTCCAAATGGATAGCTGCCAAAAGGCCCCTCCCGTCGAGTGAGCTCCTCATTTTAACAAGATGGCGCTAAAACCTGTAGGAGTTAAGAAATTACGTAGATAGTGACCTAAGAATGGGGAGGGCATTTTACTAACATCTTAGCACCTAAGCCAATTAACAATGTCTATTTGTCTATATCTTGATTTTCTTCAATGATGTAATAATGCCTTTAAAAGGGTCTGCGCATCCATTTTCTGTCAGAAGCCATTACACTTCTCTGAAGTTCTTTCATTACCCTGAACCTTGTGTCTCAGTGTGAATTTACTTCTGCGTGCACGCAACTTTATTATCTTTAATTTGGACAGGAACAGATAGTCATTCAAACTAATTGGTTTGCAGTAAATCATCTAGAACACTAGTAACCTTGCTAACACAATGTACAGATAGACGTAATTGATGTGATTCTGACAGTAATATATATACATGTATATTAATATGTGTATTAGTAACATATATAATTATGCCTATAATATTTACCCATGTATTAATATACATTTATATATGCATTATACACACATAAATGTCATTGATATATAACATATATGTAATGAGCACATATTGGCCCAGTTTTGTTGCATACTCCAGCACAATAACATATTCAAAGTGAAGAGCGCACCTAAAGGACTTCAAAATAAACAAGATCACTTTTTTTTCAGTTGTGCAACCCGCAGACATTCAGCATTTCAGTCCCATTACCAGAATGTCCTTAATATGTCGAGGTAGTTAGACTGAAACATTGATTACATGCAAATGTGCGTCTGCTTAAAATATGTTTATTTTGAAGCCCTTTATGCTTTCTTTCGATGGAGTAATAGTTTTTAATTTTACGTTATCTTTTCCACCTCTATATCAGCACACTAAGCTGGTGCGATGCATTATTGGGCTGGTATAGAATTTTTAAAGTGCTGCTTTTAGTTCCCATTCCTGCCCTGTTTAGAGGAAGAGTAACATGAGATGGGTGTGAGATTGGGGTGGTTCCTTGAGTTAGTACGTGGTGGGTTTGAAGAGACATCACCAGCTGCTAGCAGCAGACGGATAGAAAGGAAGTGAAGGGAGTAGGATTTGAAAGTTTTGTAGGAGGGTGTGTATATAGAGGATTTGGGAGGAGTTGGTGGGGATAGGCTGGAAAGGTATATGTAGAGTGCATGGGATAAATAGAGAGAGGAGTAAAGTGGAGGCAATGAAGATGGATTTGCCAGAGACAGGTGAGCAGAAGGATAGGGATATTTTAGTAATGAGAGAAGTTAGTGTGAAAGTGAAAAATAGAAGTGAGAACATTATTTAGAGAAAATGTGTTTTGTTATATAGATATGAAAATTATTCATATATATAGACACATATACCTATGAGTGTTTAAACCAGGCTTCCCCACACTCTGGCCCTCCATATGTTGCTGAACTACAACTCCCATGATTCTCAGCCTATCTATTTCATTCATAGAATCATGAGAGTTATAGTTCAGCAGCATCTGGAGGGCCGGAGTGTGGGGAAGCCTGGTTTAAACCATGGTTAAAGCATGCAGTTTGTTAACAGAGGGATTTCAGGTGAAGAGAGGTTTCGGGACTTGGTTGGTGTGTTTTGAAAACCAGCTGCTCTGCACTATCTATAAGTATGGTAATGACCGTGGGGTGGGGTGGGCAGCCTTCAAGAGATGATGCCTCTGCTTAGGTGTTTCTGCAGTGCTTGGATGCTTTTGAGTGCTGGGAGTTGCTAATCAATGCTGTTATTTGGGGCCCAGTCTCAAATATAAAGTCTGGTTTATATTTAAGTTATATCTGTTTGATTTAATTTTTAGCCCCTGGTTCTGACTATACTGATTACTTATGTATACTCTAGTATTAAAAAAAAAAAAAAAAAAAAAATTTAAAAAATGTTGCCATTGTATATCAATTAGGCTATCTATTTTGCATTTCATACTGGAATTCGAATAGTTGATATACACCCAGTCTTTTTTTTTTTTTTTTTTTTTTCTAATCCATTATTCAATAGCCCCTCAGCAGCTGACACTTAGTGTGAGTGTTTTCTTAGCCTGCACGGTGACATGTAGTGTACTTTATGTTTATAGGTCTATTTGTTCTTTAAATAAAGCAGTAACTTTTATTCAATATTTTTCTAAATAATAGCTACTCCGTTTTCTACTATATCTCTAATATCCCTCCCTATTTTATTTTTGGTGGAGTTTGGATTAGTACTTTTATATGTTATCTGATTTTATATATATATATATATATATATATATATATATATATATTATTATATTTTTATTTTTTTAAATTTTTTTTTTTTTTTTAAGTCCTAGCTATGCTCTTATGGTTTTAGACACTTTGTGGACTATTTTTTTTATTTATTTTTTTAGCTCAGCCGATGACTTTATGTACTCACATGTCATTTTGGATTGTTTAACAGATGGGTTAAACGTTATGTCTTAAATCTCCTAAATTTGTGAGCTTGGTGTTTCTGTATCTTAAATTGTTATTTCTGCTTAAACTTTAGAGGTTGCCCCCCTTTCACTCCCCAAACTAATCAATTTAAGTCTAACACACTCTCCCTGACCATATTATCAATTTTGCTTAACCCCTTAAGGACACATGGCATGTGTGACATGTTATGATTCCCTTTTATTCCAGAAGTTTGGTCCTTAAGGGGTTAAAGGACCACTCAATGAAGTGGTTTGGGTGCCAGGTCCCTCTAGTTTTAACCCTGCAGCTGAAAACATAGCAGTTTCAGAGAAACTGATATGTCTCACCGAGGGTTAATCCAACCTCTAGTGCAGGGGTTCTCAACGTTAGTCCTCAGGACCCCCTACCAGTCCAGGGTTTAGGGATTACCTGGTGTGTCTATGGTGTTTAGAAAAAAAAAGGTCTAAGGTGTTTTGTTTGTTTTTGTGTTTTTTTGTGTGTGAAAATCACATTGAGAAGACGCCGACGTCCATAGGAAAGCATTGCGCAATGCTTTCCTATGGGCGTTTTTTAATGTGCACGCGCGGCTCTGGCGGCGCATTCGGCTCCACTCGGGAGCCGAAGGAGGAGAGGTCACCAGTGCCAAGGGAGCCGAGTAAGTGGCTGAATGGGTTTTAACCAGCAGGAGGAGGGCCATGAGGGTTGGGGGGACCTAAGGACTACATAGTGGTCCTTTAAGAGCGCGTTAGAAAGTTAAAAAGGTAAGGTTTACTGATACATGTAAGATAGGCTTATGAAAAATGGTTTTGTTATAATCAGGGCCGTCTTTAATTTTGATTCGACCCTGGGCAGGCATTTACTTGGGCCCCCTGGCTACATATAGATGCACACAAATACACTACCTGACACACATGCAGTGCAGATACACACTGACCGCATACAGATACACACAGACTACATATAGATACTGACAAACATGCAGAGACACAGTTACACAACCTGACACACATGCAGAGACACCGATACAAACGCTGACATACATGCAGATACAAAGGTACACACACTGACTACATATAGATACACCGACACATACAGACACACAGATACACAACCTGACACACATGCAGATATACAGATACACACACAAACACAAACGGACAACATACAGAGACACCTTCTGACAGACGTACTGACACAAACACACACAGACTGCCATACTGAAACACACATACACAGCGCGGCTGTCACTTCCTCCCAGTGCTGCCAAAAAGCAAGGGCCCGGTCGCGCTGTTAAAGCGCCCCAGCGCACGACCGGTGTTCTGCTGACACCGTCCCACCGGGTGGCCCAAAGTGCATGGGCCACCCGATGAGCCCCCATAGTTTGCAGGCAGAGGGCAAACGGAGCAGCTGTCTTGGGTCCCCCAGCAGGGACAGGGCCTGGGGCAGCTGCCCTGTTTGCCCCCGCGTTAAAGACGGCCCTGGTTACAATCAATGGGTATACAGGGGTATTTTGTAAAACACTGAATAAAACATTTATAGACTGTCATTTTCATGTCACCCACTCTGATGGTGTTAGCTGATGCAGTCCACACACACTCGATACTCTAGTGCAGGCTTCCCCAAACTCCGGCCCTCCAGATGTTGCCAAACTACAACTCATGATTCTATGAATGAAATAGGCTGAGAATCAAGGGAGTTGTAGTTTAGCAACATCTGGAGGGCCGGAGTTGTTTGAAGCCTACTCTAGTGGCTCCTAGAGGCCGATATACTCCTGGTCATGTAGGTTAGTTAGCTTTATCAATCAACAATGTGAGCGTGAATTATATTATCCAATGCTTTACAGTGAAGTTTTATTCGAAAAAAGACATTGATTTACCATTGTATGAAATGGTTGAAAAGTCCAT